CTATACAAGAGAGGCAGAGTTATGCTACTTCAGTCTGCTGCTGTCTGAGACCTCATGCCAAAAAATGTCTTTCTACTTAATAACTGCTGCCTGGGAGAATTTAACTGGAGATGTCAGAGATTTCCCATTAAAAACTACCCGCAAGAAAAGTTCTACCTCATTTTGCTCCCTGCTATGCTAGTTGTCTGCTGGCAGGGAGAGAGGAATGTGGGTATTACACAGGGGAGCATTGTGAAAAGTGTCCTCCCACCTGCAGTCTGAAGTGGTGCAGTCTTTTCTGTCACCTTATTCTGCTGCATGTGTGGTCCACGCTCCTAAAAAGGCAGCTCAACAGGGAAAAAAATTGATCTTGGAACTTAGAAACTGAACTGTCTGCTCAGGGAGTGGATATATTGGCTAGAACATAGGACATTTGAGTTTAAATCCCCATTTAGCTGTGAAGCTTACTGGGTGACATTATTTCTCAGCCTAACCTACCTCACAGGGTTGTTGCAATATAAAAGGGTAGGACTGAACCCTGTATATGCCACCTTGAGCTCATGGGAGGAAGGAAGGAATAAATGTGAAACAGAAACAGAAATCAGATTCTAAAGATGCCTAGGTCTTTTAACTCATAATAAGTACCTACCTCCCTGTAGCTCTCTGTCTGAATTCCCTTTCCTTCCGGAGTTCTGCATTTATTTTTTGGATTCTGACTTCCCAGAGGGCCTTAACAGCAGTAAACGAGTCAACGCAAGCTGCTGTTTCAGTCATGACTCTTCAACATTCTGATTCAGTGTCAGATTTGGGTTGTCTGCATTGCTCTTCATTGCTTCATGTATCAGAGAGGAAACCCTGATGAAAGCGTCGGAAGTGTCGTCCTTGATCTCTCCAGACTCACAACTGATTTTCGGTAGGAACATTCGCAGCGAAAAAGAGAGGCAAGCCAGAAAGAAGCTCTGCTTCCAGGAACTGGTGGAGCCTCACATGCAGACTTCTATGCTCAGGCAACATAAAGAGTCACCTACAGAAAAATATTATTTTTTGTTTTTCTTTTCTAATAAATGCAATTACACTATGAAACAACCATTTCAGAAAATCACTCTCAATTTTAGCCACAGCCAGCGCCCTCTATGTGTCAACAAATCCCTTTGTCAACACATTCACCTCTGGGTGTTCAGAAGCATTTTATTAACTACTTACCTAAATAGCTGGATGTATTAGCTGGTTTTCCATGGCTTGCTGATTTCTATGCAGCAACAGAGAGAGGTCATGAATCTTTACCACTTTGCTAAAGTCATTAACAGCTCACACATGGCTTTGACAAGAGTGAAATGTGACTCCAGCGGAGTTCTAATTTTAACATGTGACTCTTGCTGGGAATAGCAAGTGTGGCCACAGCCAGACTGCAATGTCCCCAGAAGTATTAATCTTTTTTTTTTCCAGGATTTTGTTCTGCTTTTGCAAGTCAAGAATAAGTAGACTATGTGGGATCAAGAAAAAATATGTAATATTACTGTAGTTATGCTGGTGACATGAATTTAGGACAGAAAAGCTAGATTTTTTTTATAAAATATAACACACCACAACAAGAATTGTAAATTGCTTTATTGAAAAACATATTATCAGTGAGCTTTACCTGGAAAGGTGGAAAGACATCCATTTTAAAATTCTTTGGCCTATTATGCATGTGTGTGTTTCCCCTTGCTTTCCCTGTGCATGCCCGTTGGGTTTTCTATGTTGTTCTGCATTGATTTTTCTCCCTTCAGCGCTCAGTTTGCTTTCTGGTTTCTGTTTCCCCGGGTTTCCTGAGAGTGCTGTGTGCCAATTTCCCCCTTGCTTCGCTTCCAAGCCAAAGATAATTCAAAAGTGTTCAGATTCCCTCAGATTTCCCCCCACCCTTTTACTGCCCCTCAAAGGTCACTCCCCCACCCACACTATTGTTCTACCCACTCTGCACCTTCCACCATCCTCCCCGTCATCAGTGTACAAACTCTATTTTCCCCTCGTTTTAAAATTTGTAATTTTTTTAACAAGCGGCATGCGTCTAGCGATGTGACTATCACTAGTCTCGTATCACTGAATTAAAAAAAAATTAAGATGACAGGGGGAAGTTTAAAAGGAGCTGTACGAGGTTTAGTTCCCTGCTGATATTAACCTGGAAGGGGGATTGGAGAGGAGGCAAATGGCAGTGTCCCCAGTGCAAAAAAAGAAGAAGAGAATTTCAGTGCCTGATGCAAACAAAATTAGGGGGGGGGAATCTTCAGCTCAGAAAGAAATTCACATGAGAGAGACTGGGAGGTAAAGACTAAAGCCTTGAAAACATTTTTCCTTTCATGCTTTAGTGAACAAAGTTTGGAGGGGGACCAGTTTGGCAGTCTCTGGAAGCCTAACATTAAAATGGCGGCTGAGCTGCATGGACCTTCTGCAAACTGCCAAACTTAAAAATCACTTGGGATTGATCCATTTGGAGGACAGAGTACAATCTGCACAGGACAGGCTTTAAAAAACTGTCAAGATTGCAACCAGTGTGCAGTACCACATTAGAGAATCACAAAGAGGAAACCCCACAAAGTTGCAAGGAAAGGCAGGAAATTAGCGTTACTATGCAGTTGCACTAGGGCAAAGTACCTTTTTCAATTTAGTGGCACAACACTAAAAAAGCTCTCTAGAGCTTCTGTCAGAGGGCTCCCCCCCAATACTAGGGCAAAGTACCTTTTTCAATTTAGTGGCACAACACTAAAAAAGCTCTCTAGAGCTTCTGTCAGAGGGCTCCCCCCCAATACAAGTTGCAGCCCTATGCAAAGCATGGAGGAGTTGTATCTGACTTTGCGCAAGTGCGCACACACACATGTATGTTGCCAACAATCACAGCTTGTAGTGCCAGTGGGTCCTACCATGCATTCTGTACACTCAACACGTTCCCCCATATTATGAGATAATGTGACTCCCATTTTCACAGTGGCTGATAACCCAGCAGAGAACCCCCAGTACTTGGCAATATGGAAAGTGGGGATTCACAGCTGCTTGTCAGTTTCAAAAAAAAAATCTTGTCAGTGTCAACATTGTGTGTCCCCCGCCCCTTTGCCTTCCTTCCTTTCTGTTCTTTTATTCAACAAAAACTAATGCTAAAATGCATGCACAAAACCTGAACTAGGAGGATTTAAATGGAAGGTGCTTGTTGGATGCTACTGCGCAGCTGCTGTAGGGAGATTGCATAATTTTTTTAAAAACTTTGGACATCACCCCCCCACACACAAGTTGATGTTCCAGCCAATTTAGATATGTGCATTTTAAAAAAATTTAGCTGCAGAATAAATACACCAGAGGAAAAAGAATGGTGCATAAGGTGGGCACAGAATCTAAAGTCTGAAAATCCACAGTAAAATGTGCATGTGTAATAGGCCTATGATAGCCCAAATTCTTTGCTTTGTCTGGGTGGCAGGCTTGGAGCAAAAGAGGAGTGGTTCATAACCTAAAGTACACTCAGACTTGAGATCTTGAGGGGGTAAGAAAAGGCCTCTGTAGGGCTACTACACTGATGAGGGTCTTCATACCCTCCCCCCACAATATGCCCCTAGAGTAGGGAAGAAAAAACAACTCTAATCCTCTTCCTTCTTCCCCATCTCCTGTTTCTCCCAAGTTCTAGTGCAAAACAAAGGAACATAAACTAGGACAGTATAGACTTCACAATGGAGGAGAGAACTGAGCCATCACAACTGAGGCATACTGCCAATGTATATTTATTTATTTAATTTAAAACATTTATTAGCTGCCTTTCTACCTTGCAATACTCAAAGTGGCTTACAATATGAATAAAAGTTATAAAATATAAAAAAACAACTGTTAAAAAACTCAATTAGGACGGTCAATAACTAAAAACTAAATTAGTCAAACATAGTCCTAATAACTGTCTTCAGCTGTCTCCTGAAGACTGAACGTCCCTGGGGGTTATTTATTTATCGAATGAATGGCAGAGTTACACTCAAGAAGCATACAATAATTTAAAATACGTAACCCAGTTGATATAATGCCTGTGTAGACCAATTGGGCAATCCCCCTAAATGCTAATATCTAAGTTTTCAGTCCACTCAATCACAGCTGGGGAAGAGTTCAGTGCTCCATCATATCACCCTGGAAAGCAGGGCGCTCACATTCCTGTGACAGATGGAAAATAGTTTGGCAGGCTGCACCACAATCGCATTCAGATCCTGGTATTTTGCTGCACTTAAACAACAGGCCTGCACAGCTACTAAAGCTTGTTCATATTCTATGACCTGTCTTCCATACTTTATTTGGCAAGTCAAATCCTGCCTTATGTTGGTATTTATCAGGTTATGGATCTCAGGTGAAACTGATTGCTCCATGTTCACAACCATTCATTCCCCAGATTGAAATTCTGTGATTGCAGGATTTGTGCAGATCTTATTGCTGGGTGTCAGGATCTTAGTATGGATAAGCCTGCATCAGCCATGTCTTTGTGGATGGGCAACTCTCTTGTTTTCAATTATCTTTCTATATTCATGTTCTATATTCAATCCACCTTTTCATAGTTATGCAAATAGACCCAAACAGTTGCGTTCTCACAAACAGACCATGCTGTGTGGCCTTCTCATACCTGTGCATAAGGATTTATGTTCTTGGAGGCTCCAAAACATTTTAAGATCCCCAGATAAAAGTCTAAAGCCACAGAGGTTGTAATAAAACAAGCTTTATTCAAGAAAGGAAATCAAAATAAAATTATACAATATAATTAATGTTTAGATCAGCCAAAATTAATAGAAAGCTTCTCATGGCGGTACAGGAGATGCAAGCAGTTGCTGACCTCCCTCATTCCCATGGTCCACACAGCAACAGATACAGAGACAGGCACTCCAGTCTGATCCATCTATACATGACAAAGCTTTGTGTTTGTTGCGCAACAGGAGGCTTCTGTATCACACCTCCAATGGGACTTTTGTGCCTTCCAGATGTATGCTGGCTCTTTTCTGCTTACGATCACAGCAGGAAGGGAGGTGGCTGTAGCGCCCCCCCCTTCCTCAAGCTGCCCCATGGAACAGCTACGGTATTCAGTCCTTTCCATTGTGACACCTAAATGTAGCCACCTAAGCAACTTAATGGCAACATGTTGTTCACCCCCAAGACTTACCTCGACTTTTCCCCATCAAGGTCATATCTCACATTTTCTTTGCATTACAGAGTCTATTTACCAAGAAATTTAGCTTGCGGGGAGCAAGTAGCTATATGTTGTCTACAAGCATCGGCTTGGGTCTTGCAGATCTGTTTCACACTCCTCCAGCCCAAGAAGCCTTCCTCCAATGCAAAAGGCCTTTTTTTGGCCATTAACAGAAAGCTCCTGGTGCCAGAAGAAAGTACCACCACTAGCATCACATACCTGTGGGATCCAACCCAATATCTTCTGACAACTGATGCTATGTCCACTCTTAGAGAAAGCACTCACCAGTGCATTTAAATCTACAAGACAGCATGCAGGGGAGAGGGAGGCAAAGAGCGTGAAACCCAGTACTGTAGTGTAAAAATCTTTTAACTGATGCTAGCTACCATTTTCTTTAATCCCAATGGTTTTTCCAGGGAATTTTGAACAAGGGTAAGTATTCATTTTATTTATTTTTAAATGGCCTTTCTACTATTGTATACCTCTCCTCCTTTCTTATGACCTTCTAGTAGCACCTTCGGGTACACATTCATATGGACAGACGTGATACACAAGCTGGCCATTGGCAAACTGCATGATGACTAAGTGCCACTGGTGAATAAGTGCACCTGGTGAATTCACAATGATGAATAAGTGCACCTGTTTTTTTTGGCCACTGTGTGATAGTGTTGGACTGGATGGGCCACTGGCCTGATTCAACATTGGCTTCTCTTATGTTCATATGTAAATTGCCACAGCCTTATATGCGATTGCCCGCTTCATATTTTATATGGGTATACAATGTAGGTATACATGGTGTCTAGGCATTATATAATTAACTTCAGTAATTAATGGTGTGCCCAAGAATTATTTTAGGTTCAAAGAATACTTTAAAAAATAGAAAAACAAAAGTTAGGTTAGAGAAAAATCCATCACAACTCTTTCAGGAGAAGCACAGAGACATTTTGTATTTTTGTGATTTGTGCGTTAATTGCATTAGATATAATATCTTTTTATGTTTCATCAAAAAGAAAGTCTTTCCCCCCCAAACAGTTAACATAATTAATTTTCTAAGCAACGCAGGCAGTTGAAACAAAAGTATTGCAAGTAACAGCAGCGTTCTTCTGGTAATGTCAGTGTAGAGGAATACAGTACTTTTCTCATCATTAAAAATTTCCCACTGCCCTACTCAGGAGCCATCCTGACCCATAACCTATAGCAGCCCCTAGCCAAATAACTTACAGCTAAAATACTTATTTGAACAGACTGTAACAGGTAAATCAATACACTGACTGGAGGTCTAAAAGGACCAATCGGTCTCAAAATGTCATAGTGAATTATGAAATGTAGTATTAAGGACACTTGCTAGCATAGCTAGCTTGCTATCACCCCCAAATTAAAAGAATGTGACTGGCTATTAGGCTTCATTACTTAAGATCCAGGAGCATGGAAGCAGGGTTCTCCAAGTAAGATTTCCACAAGTTAGAAAACCGGGCCATGGTTGCACCATCAATAATCCTGTGATCAGCAGACCAGCTCACGTTCATTATCTGTGCTTTAAATACTTCACCTGCACTGTTAAATCGAGGAAGGACCTAGAAATTGGGGAACAAAAGAACAGGATCCATGTCAATGCTACAGAGATGGCCTGTGCCAGGGTGGCGGGGAGGATCTCGCTGCTTTAATCTAATTGGCACCCTCCCAAGAAAAATTTCCTGGCTATGGGGCTGTATAAAACTACTAGATCTTTCATTTGGCAAATCTTACCATTACAACTGAAACTTCAATTAAAAATCAACATACTTGTACTCTTCCAAGAGCTCCAATGGCTACTTCAGGAGGTAGTATCACTGGCTTGGCATAGGTACCACCGATCTAAAGCTGCAACAGACAATTACTAAACTAAAATCAAAGAAATGATCCACTGTTTGACCCTTTCCTATAGATGCAGTTAAGCAAGAGGCATAGAGCTCCACCAAGCCTTCTTCTCTTTTATAGTTTTGTATCCTACTCAAACAATACTCATAAGAACATAACAGACGCCAATGTTGGA